AGCTCGATGCGCCCCTGCAACCTGGGAACCACCCAAAGCACATGCAGAGAGTCTCTCGTAACTCAGATACAAGGTCCCCAAATCCACCAAGTTCCCAGAACGACGCCATCATTGACTGCAAGGAAAGGTAAGTACCATTTATTTTCCTCTCCTTCTTCTTCTCTTTCTTCTTTTTTTTTTTTTTCTTCTTCCTCTTCTTTGTGCGCCTCCCTCTTCCACGCGATCCTTCTTTCCCTGCACGTGATACCTTCCTCCTCGCTACTTATGACATTCTACCTCTTCTCCTCTTGCTCTCTCCACTTCTTCTTCTTCTTCTTCTTCTTCTTCTTCTTCTTCTTCTTCTTCTCCTTCCTCCTGCGTTTTCTTCCTCCTGCGTTTTTTTTCTTCTGCGCGCTTCCTCCCCGTACCGTGATACTAACTTTGTCGGGCTCTGCAAAGGTAAGTCGAGACGTCCCGGTAGGACGTCCGAGTTCTCAACTGCGGGCTAGTCGAGTAGCCCTGGCTCGAATGAATCCACCGCCAATGGCAGTTTATCCGTTCGAGTAACTCGTGAATTTTATTTCGTAAAACGAAAAAGGAAAAGAAAAAAAAAAGAATATAATAAAAGGAATAAAGGTAAGTAGGGAAAAAAAAAAAAAAAAATATGAATCCTACTACGAATTTTCCCTCGTAGTCAACTATCAGATTCGGGGCTTAGGCTCAACTACCCTACTAATCCCTAACACGGAGATCACGGGTTCAAGTCCCGGTCGACCGAAACCGGGTGAAGACCAAAATAAAGTTTCTTTAAAAACGAGCTAAGCTCGGGGTCGGATGGATTCGATCCCCAAGTCACCTGATTGTCAATCAGAACTGAAACCCACTTAGATAGCTCTTACTTCGATTAGAAGAGGAGCAACTCAGGTATAGGTACAGTCTTGGGGCTCAACCCACCTAGTTGCCCAAACCCATTCTTCATTTTAGAAGGGTTTAGGCTAAATTGAGGCTGAATTGTTGGATGTAGGTTAGCTGCCATAGGTATGTTAGACATTCTTATGGTCCACCCGGCTGTACAGTCGGGGCCTAAATAAATATTATTTTACTAAAAATATACGGACATTAAATTTTTTAGGTGTGTCGTAGATTTGTACGACACAAAATAACCCAATTGACCCCTCGACTTTCGTCGTCAAGGGGGTTTTATTATTTTTACGCTTTTTATTTTTAACTAGCGTTATGCCAAGGCACGCGCTTTGTGCACGACGGGTTTAATCGCCTTCCAGCTATCGATGTCAACGCGTAAGCTATGTTCTGATAATTGAATCCTCAGCCTCAATAGTCAAGAAAATCGTTTCAAAGTGTCGCATGAAAAACATGTACACTTTTAAGTTCAGTCCGACTCCGTCATGGTGGTCGGTGCAATTAGTGTGTCGACTGTAAAAACATGGTCAAATACCCGTGTAAGGGTATTTGGTCTGCCATAGTTGACACGATTCATATAAGATATTAATACATTAGACATTATTGGCAGACCTCTGTTTCATTTTGGTAAATGTGACAAACTTCACGTTGTCGAGGTAGAAACCCTGATAAGGGTATCTGGCCGAAGGTCGGACAATGTTCGACTTTAGTAAAAGTTGTTTGGGCTTCATAACTTGATGAGATTGGATTATCTACCGACTCAAACCCAACTTATGAAGGAAAAACCACCATTCCAAATGATTATTGACGCTCGGAAGTGATAGGTGATGACCGACAGTGTGACTGGTTGCATTCCGTTTCAAGGAAGCCGCATGGACAAACGGTCATTGGAACGTTAAATCTTTTTTTTTTTACCTAAAATGATGATGCGTCGTTGATAAGGCTTTGTCGGTGCGAATACCCTTACAAGGGTATCCGCCCTGGTTGTTGTAGGTGACAGAGAATAAGGTTGCTTTAAAATCTAAGTACTTCGGGCGAGTCACGAGTGTGTTTCGATTGCGTGGACTGAACGGTTGACTAGGAATAAAGAGTGTGGGGGCGTGCAGACTTAAGACGCACATTATCTTTTTTCTTGTTGATGATTGTAATGCCGACGTGGTTGGCGGCCACATGTTTTATTGGAGAAACTACGGAGGAGTCACAAAACTGAGTTATAATTGCACTATGGGTCATGATGCAGTCTCGAATTGTAGTTCGGATAATGTATACAACCCAATTTTGTGGCTAGGTAGGGTACATCACGTGCAGTTGCAAACTGTATCTTGCCCAATAGTGCAATTATAACTCGTTTTTGTGACTCTACTAAAGTTACCCCTTTTTATTTATTTTTTAATTAAACTAGGAGTAAAAAAAATCGTCTTTTGATCGATACTATTGACAACAACGTGTGCGCTTGTACGGAGGGCGGCATCGGCGATAATGTGGCATCAAGTAATAGTTGAGTATGCGAGGGATTGAACGCTCGGTAGGCGTGAGGCATGACGGTCGTGGTTCTAAGTGATAGCTTCAGAGTACGACCTTCGAATATTTATGAGAGCCGCATCTTCAGTAAGTCCAACACAAAGATTATTCTTTAGTGGCAAATGAAAATAAAATCTCAGCGACTGTCAATAACACTAGCGACAAACTCAAGGGCAACATGTCAACGGGTTATGTACCGAATTTTTTCACTCAGCAAGACACATATAGTAGATTAACGATAGTAACGCAAAGATCTTGCCAGCATAAAACACAGTTAATCGGTCATTGACAGAGAATAACAATAAAATGGTGCCGAAAATAAGCGCGTAGGAAAATTCGGCTTTAACAAAAAGAGGCTCGAAGGTAGTTGGGGAATGAAAACGAAGAAAGCATCTTATGGAGGGAAGCAGAACTGACGAGATTATTGACAACGAAAAAAAATAGAATGGTAATGTGCAAGGTTCGACAAAAATAGGCACACAGGAAAATTCAACGTCGGCAAAAAGAGGCTCCGAGGTATCAGGGGATGAAAAAAAACAAAACTACTCAAATATAGGCATAAAGGGAAATATCGGGGAAGAAGGGGAGAGGAGAACTTGGGTCTCGCTCCACTACACTAGTCTCACAAAAAAAAAAATGAGTGTTTTTAGAGTTGTCAGAGGCTTACAACTCTTAAAAAAAAAACCATTGCTCCACTTAGGGCATACTCACACGGCGACCTAAAATCCACAAAATATGCGGATTTTTTTTTTGGACATGGTTCACGTCACACTGCTGTATCTTTTCAGATGGGACAAGGTCGCGACCGTCTGGAGAAATGGGGATTTGGTACTTGGCTGGTCACACAACGCCATCCACTTAGGGCCTGTCTCTTATACACATCTAGATGTGTATAAGAGACAGGGACAAGGTCGCGACCGTCTGGAGAAATGGGGATTTGGTACTTGGCTGGTCACACAACGCCATCCACTTAGGGCATACTCACACGGCGACAAAAAATCCGCAAAATCCGCAAAATATGCAGATTTTGTTTTTGGACATGGTTCACGTCACACTGCTGTATTTTTCCAGATGGGATAAGGTGGCGGCCGTCTGGAGAAATGGGGATTTGGTACTTGGCTGGTCACACAGCGCCATCCACAAATTGCGCAAGAACATTTGTGAACAAATTTTTGCCAATTTTCAAAGAAAATGCAAAAAATGAAATAGGGCAAATCCCTTGTCTTGCGGCTTCCTGGGCCGCTGACAAATGGGCACATGAATAGTACATTTGCGAATTTGGTAAATCCGTGTGACCGGCCTTTTCCCCTTTTTTCTGGGATTTTGGGAATATAGGTCCCCATGTGAGTATGCCCTTACTCCAGACTCGAGAACAATAGAAGCACTCACAAATTTCTCAGCGCTACATGACAGCCCTTCTACAACGCTAGATGACAGAGCCAGCTCGTTCTGATGGTCGGGGCAGGAGGCACATTCGCAAAAAAAGAAGTCGGAGCGGGGTAGGAGGGATGACGCTAGAAAACCTGGTAGGAGGGAGGACGTTAGAAAACCTGAGCGTTGCAGGCTGTGAACTCTTTACAAATCGAGAACGCTTTCTGACAGCTCTCGAAGGGTGTTGTCATTAGTTTCAGTGTAGAGTAAGGGCCTCGCCACACCACTCTCGAATCTCGAAAAAATTCGATAGCTGTCAGAACTTTTCGAGAGGGCGGTTTTCGAGAGGAAAGGGCCCTTCGCCACACAGCACACTCGACATTTTTCCTCTCGAACGTGGATCCTCTCCGCGGCCCAATTCGGTAGTGCTGTGTGGCGGAGCCTAACTCTCGAATTGGCGGAGGCCGTGCTGAGCGGAAGCCTTCCTCACTGTCAATGCACCTAACCGCAAAGATGGCTTGTATACATGCATTATCAGGGTGCGGCCGTGGTCCCAACCGCCTCTCGAAGATGGTGCATTTTCGAGAGTTGCTTTTGAGATTGCGCATTTCTCCTTCGACGCACTACCTTCCAAACACGGCCTGACAGCTCTCGAAATGGAGCACGACCTCGAGCGCGGACGGGAGGTATCACGAAAACCACAAAGCTGCAGGCTGGGCGAAAACATCTTTTCGAGAAGGCCCTCGAAACCGGCCTTCTGACAGCTCTCGAAAAGTTTTTTTTTTTCGCGAGGCTGTGTGGCTATGCCCAACTCTCGAATTTTCGACATTCGAGAGTGGTGTGGCGAGGCCCTAAGTGGAGCGAGGCGTTACTCTCGAAACTTCGGGAGTCTGGAGTAGTGGAGCGAGGGCCCTTATGGAGGGGAGCGGAACTGAAGAGGGGGAAGGACAAACATTTTAGCCCAGGGTTAAATCTGAAATTGTCCAAGCCTCGATGCACTCCACTCCACGGCGGACCCTCCTGACTGCGAACGAAGCGCAGCCTCTTGGCTGCGAAATGCTAACAGGGCCAGCGGCCCTGATCGACATAGAATAGGCCTGCCTTCTTCCGCCGAATACAACGTACGGTAATTATGGCTGTATTTAGACTGAAAGATACCCCCAATTCAGCTATAATGACCGTACGTCTATAATGACCGTCCGTTGTATTCGGGGGAAGAGAAGACTGCGGGGGTGAGGTTTCTGTGCGCGTGTGCTCCCGGTGGTGCATGCTTGCGTGGGTGAGGTTTGTGTGCGTTTCGTGCTTGCGTGTGTGCAGTACTTGCGTGTGGGTGCGGGGAGCGGGGAGAGGGGCTGTGCTTACCCAACACACCCACCCACGCACACACACACAGATACATACACACACACACACACACACACACACACAGAGCCGCGGGGAAACATGAGGGGTGTGCTGCTCTAGATTGTTGTTGCAAGCCACGAGAGTCGGACCACCTTTTTTTGGTCGAAAGAGGGTCGAAAAGCTTCGCGCGGAAGCGGTAAGCCGTGATCTTATCCTTTCTCCTCCTCCTCCTCCTCCTCCTTCTCCTCCTCCTTTTGCCCTCGGCTCTCCGCCTTTCGACATCCTGTCTCAATATCCGTCTGCATCTGCTTTACTCGTATCTCCTCTCCATGGCGACCTATGCTCCTGCTTCTTCAGCTCCCGTCATTGCAGACTCCCCCCCTCCTCGGCTTTCCTTCCATTTCCTTCGATCTCCCTCAATAACATCGTTGGTGCAGTCCAGACGACCAGCATATGCCAATTTTATTGATTTGTGTTTATG